TCTTAAAAGTCATGTAATAGTTTTCCCATATTATATAAGGCGGTCTTGTTTAATGTACTTAAAAAAAAACCTTATTGATGGAAAATTTTGTTTTTCTGGTTTGTTTTTCTGTTGTTAATTAAGATTGCTTGCTTAGGGAGAGAGAACTTGGAAGTTTGGAAAAGTAAAAAAAAAAAAAAATCAACCATTATGAGAATTCTGTAACACAGTGATAACACAGTGAACATTTTGCGCTGTTTCTATCCAGAATTTTTCTAGACACATATTCTACAGTCTCTCCTGTACTAATGTTTAATTTCAAAGCTCAGAAATAAAGGGCTAGCTCACCTGATATTTGCAGGTAACAGCTTTATAGGGAGGCCATATTGGATCCCCTGCAGTTCCTCAGCAAAAATGCAATATTTCAAGTCATCTGCATTTACATCTGTTTTGTGGAGGCTTACAGCTGGGTTCTTTAAAGATCAAATCATTAAAACCTTTAAGTTTCCAGATGAAAGAACCGATGCCCAGAAAGTTTAAGTGAAAAGTTTAGTTGGGTATAAAAAACATTCTTTTCTTCCTTAGCATTCATAAGAAATGAAAACTAATGTCCTCTCTTCCCACCCAGCTACCTTACTGTTTGTGGAAGAATGAATAGAAGGCTACAAAAATTATACAAATTTGTTTTTATAAGAAGGATATTATGGTTCTCACAGTGCGATGTGCTGGACTGTTCATTAGGACCCAGCAATAGTAGATAATTCACAATGAGATATCCCAGTGGTTCCCAGATGTATGGGTCCAGGCCAGCCTCATTGGTATTACCTGGGGAACTTGTAAAAAGTACACATTCTTCATGCTTGCAAATTCTGATCTAGTCTGATGTATAGTATGAGAATCTGTATTTTTGACAAATATTCCAGCGGCTCATTAACTAAATGACGGTGCATCCATAATTGAAATACAGTAGCTGTTAAAAAGAGTTGAGGTGGTTTGTATGCTCTCATATGGAAATTTCTCTAAGATATATTGTTAAATGAAAAAACTTAGGTGCAGAACACTGTATATAACACGTTCTTATTCCTACTTGTATATGCATAGGAAATTTCTGGAAGGATATGAAAACTTGTAACAGTAGTTGCCTTTGGACAGGAGAACTGGGGGCCTGGAGTTGAGAGACTTTTTCTTTTCTTCCTCCTTTTTCATTTTTTCCTTCCCCATTTATGTTTCTTTTTCAATTAAAGAGAGAAAGCTCTTCCAGGTGATTCTGATGTGCAGCCAAGGTTAGGAAGCCACGACTACAGATGACATCTCACAGTATCTTGGACACAATAAAGGCCAACCCTTCATGCCTCAGATAGTTTATTGGCTTTGGTTAAATTTTTCTGAGTTGTAGATCCTTGACCAGATTGCTGATGCCAAGGTTTGTGGGCCTCTACCATAGGAGATAGAGACATTCTCACATGGGAGAGGTGGTCTCTGGTTAGGCTGTGCTTCTGCCAGCCTGACTCCAGGATGCTAGAGACATGAAGGGATTGCTTCGGGGCAGCCAGTTTCAGGGAGTAGTAGGGGAAAGAACACGGGCTGGGAACCAGACTAATACCTGGGTGTGAATCTCAGCTTTCCCCTTTTGTTTCCTCATCTATACTTTGGGAAATGATACCGCCTTGAAGGGTGGAGGTAAGGGTGGTGAAAGGGCATGTGTGTAAAGCTTCTGTTGGCACAGACCAGGGGCTCCACAAATGGTATGATTATCATCCTCATCACCGAAGGTCGCCTCTGTAGAAAGGAAGCCCTGAGTTATCCGTTGGCTCCCCCGACTCAGTGGCAGGTAGGGGTGTTGCCATGGACACTCATTATCTCCTTCTCCAGCCGCTGCTTTGATGGGAGCACCCCTGTCCATGCGGCAGCATTTTCAGGCAATCAGTGGATCCTCAGCAAACTCCTGGATGCTGGGGGTGACCTTCGACTCCATGATGAGAAGGGTCGAGACCCGCAGACCTGGGCCCTGACAGCTGGGAAGGAGCGCAGCACTGCGGTAAGGGCAGACCCATCTGCAGCCACACCCAAGGCAGAGGACTGGGAGTCAGAAGCCCAGGGGCCAGAGGCTGGTCCTGGGAACAGCATAGGGCTTACAGTGGCCTTGCCATTGGCACTGGACACACAGACCTGGGTTGAAGCCAGTTAACCAGCTTTAGAACCTCAGGCAAGTCTAGTGAACCTTTCTGGTCTTTCATTCAGTGGAGTCTTTCATTTTGTCTGACCCTTAACTAGCACTTACCACACATCAGACATTATAATTAAATTAGTTAAATATTAACTCATTTTATCTTCACAACAACCCTCTTAGCTACTGTTATTGTTCCCATTTTGCAGATGGGGAAAACAAGGCCCGTTGCCATGAAGTAACTTGCCTGGGGCCACACACTGGCAGGTGTGATGTGTTCTAATTAGGACTAAGTTACATAAACATAAAGCAGGAAGGGCGTGCACAATGCGGGGCATGTGGAGGGAAGGGAGAGATGGGCAGAATCCTCTCCCCTGACTTCTCTCCCTTTGAGTCTCCTGCTCATAAGCTCTTGGGCCTTGGACAAGTAATTTCACTCTTCCTGCCTCCGTTTCCTCATCTGCTGAAGGAAGGAATTGGAGAGAATTATTGCCAGTCATTTCCCTGAAAACATTCCATACCTTTAGAAAGTCACTTGGGCCCCTCCCTTTCCAGCGATTACCTTGTCGGGGTCTCCCGGCTCCGCAGACCATTCCAGGCCCACCGAAGGCTGGGTGGCCACTAGCCACACCAGCACTGAGCCACCGGTATGGTATTGCAGGTGGTGGAGTTCATCCAGCGCTGTGCCTCCCACATGCAGGCCATCATCCAGGGCTTCTCCCGTGACCTCCTGAAGAGGGTCGACTCCCCTCAGCGGCTCATCTGCAGCCCGCCTCGGTTTGGCGGCCTCATGCAGGGGTGAGTGCTGCCTCAAGCAGCATCGGGTGTTCTGTATCATCAAGCCTCCCTCACGTTGTTCCCTCCTAGCATCTGGCCCACCCAAAGAGGTGAGCTCAGAAGGAAAAGATGCTGCCACTGGAAAAGGGAGGCCAATGGAGCACCTTCAGCTATGTCCCCCATTCTGGGAATGTCCAGGGGAAAGGAGTTCTGGACTCCAATGGGAATCACCCTGTGGTTAGCAGAGAGGGAATATTTCAAGTCTGGGGAGCCCAGCAGAAAACCCTTTCTCATAGCAGTGACTTGCCTTTATTTATTTATTTATTTTGACACCTCTGAACCATGGAAAACATGTTCCTTTTTTATTGAGGTTGCAAAAGACCAAAAATGCTTAACTCACAGTTCCTTGGGCTATTTTAAGCTGATCTGAGAGACTTGCTGCTAGCTGGGTGGGCAGCTGCAAGGGGTGGGCCCCAGGTTTCCCTCCATCTTCAGGAGGGAAATTCTTGGGACTTTATTGACTTAGGATTTGTATGTACAGAACCCTTTTCATTTTGGTTTTCTCAGGATGGCTAGATTTGTCACACTCTCACAAGCTCCCCTTCCCTGTCCTTCCGTGTGCATCCAGTCTTGGTTTTCCTCTGCTGACCTGGATGCCACCAGCTTCTCAGGCCAGCTGAGTCAGTGATTCCTTTGAAGACCAGCTACTCTTAACTGCTCTCTCTGCTGCTGCTCTTGCTGGTCTTGGTTTTTTACCCAGAATCCAGAACAACCTGTTAAAAATGGAAATCAGATTGTGCCAGTCTCTGCTAAAAACCCTTTTAGGGTCTTTCCCATGGTTGTCAGGATAAACTCCCAAATCCCTCGTCTGGCCTCGAAGGCCCTGCTTGGTCCTACTCCGCCCCCCTTCACCTCCTCACCATCCAGTGTTTGGATCGTGGCAGACCGAGTTCCTACTAACAGAGCCCAGGCCCAGTCCCTACTGCTGCTCTGTGACCCCAGGCCAGCAGGTTGTCCCTTTCAGGCTCTGTTTTCCCCATCTGTAAAATGAGAAAGTTAGACAAGATATGCTTTATGATTCTTTCCAACTTTGACCATCTGGATTAATTATCTATTGCTGCATAATGAATCACCTCCCCACCCCCCCCAACTTAGCAGCTTCAAACAATAATAAACATTTGTATCTTACATGCTTTCTGTGGATCAAAAATCAGGGAGTGGCTCAGTTGGGTGGTTCTGGATCAGGGTTTCTCATGAAGTTGCAGTCAAAATGTCAGCTAGGTCTGTAATCATCTGAAGGCTTGGCTGAGGCTAGAAGGTCCAGTTCCAAGATGGTGTACTCACATGGCTGGCAAATTGGTGCTAGGTGTTGGGCCTCCCGATTGGGCTGCCAGAATGTCCTCACAACATGGCATCCAGCCTCCTCCAGAGCAGGTAACCTAAGAGAGATGAGGGCAGAAGCCCTAGTGGTTCTAGCCTTGGAGATCACAGCACTCTGTCATTTCTGCAGTATCCTATTGGGTTAATATACTAGCCTTATCTGACCTGTGAGGGGCTACACAAGGGCATGAATACCGAGAGGTGGGAGTCACAAGTGCCCTCTGAGAGGCTGGCCAGTACACCATCTGTAGTGCCACAATAAGTCAGGCAGTCAAGACAAAACCCACTACACATTCTGAAAACTTGGTTCATCGTTGTTCCTCTGGATATGAGTAGTTAATCCTTATTTTTCTCCTCTTTTAAATATTTCTAGAAGCCCTAATGGCTCTCCTAACCGACTACTTAAAGCTGGAGTCGTTTCTGCCCAAAATATCTACAGCTTTGGCTTTGGGAAGGTAAGAGGCCGCTGACAGCCAGTTTGCAGGACTAACTGGCGAGTAACCTGGCTCTGGACCTATGTCTCATGACTTGGTTCAATTCCTCTTTCTTATCAAAGTGTTTTTTTTTTTTTCTTTTTTACCATTTTTGTGGTACAAGTGCCTCTTACTGTTGCTGTCCTTATTGATAAAAATGTGAAAACCCTACAGAGATCCCTTGAATGAATGACCTTGGGCTAGATTTGGGGAATTTAGAAAATGATCCTTTAATTCCCAGGGAAGGCCCCAGACGTGTTCTCCCTGAAGAGAGGCAGAGAGCTGCGCTGACCCTATGGGTCTTATTTGTGACTGAGCTAGATTGCATTGTTGGAATGCCTTTAAGGAATTGAAATTTTATTTATTAATTTTTTTAACATTCTCATTTTTTTTTTTAACGCCTACAGCACCTGATCTTCCTAGGTGATCTCTCATCCAAGTACTAACCAGGCCCGACCCTGCTTAGCTTCTGAGATTAGACAAGATCAGGCACATTCAGGGTGGTATGGCCATAGACAGGAATTGAAATTTTAAATTGAGAAATGTTTTGAGGGAAAAAGGATTTTTTGCAACCTTGGTTCTGCTCATCAAAGAAAGAGACAGTTGGGATGTGTTGCTGGGCGATGTTTGCTGATAGCCCCAAACCCAGTCTTAAGTCTGTTGCTTGTACCTAGGGGTGGGATGTGGGGAGAAGGAATTTCAGCTTCGGCTGCTTACAGGCCGGGGTTTTTTGGGGGCCACGAGAGGCCCCCGAGTCCCAGCCCATTGCTTCAGACAAGTGTCTGACTTCTTTCCATGAGTCTGTTTCCTCACTAGTAAAAGGGAAAGGATATTATAACCTTGCAAATTTTCTAGAAAGATTAAAGAGAGTAT